TAGTACCTCCTTGCCGGAGTGTGAGTAATTAGTTTATGAGCTGTGTATGGTGCCTATGAATGGCCTGTTATGGTATATTTGGTTGTTGTTGGTGTAGTTGTGGTATTGCTGACAGGGATATTTTTTGGATAGTCCAATTTACAGGGGAGACTCTGTCGAAATTTTTAAAAATTTAGGGAGTTAGCCAAAATTTTGATTGCCTTGGGAAAGTGAATAGTGCTAAGAAAACTTAAGAAGTTCAAGGAATGATTGTTAGCTTACGAATAAGGCCCTAGAAACATTCGAGGACGAATATTTTTAAGGAGGGTAGATTGTAACACTCTTCAAATCTATAAAAGTTTCAAGATACGCTAAATATAGAATTTAATTTTCTTTTTATCTTACCTTAAGTGCAAAATTTTTTTACTTCTATTACGGATTTAAAACCTTGTGATTGACTTTTGAGTTACTTCTCTATTTATAAATAACTGGACATACAATTAGGGGAATATTAATAATTTTAATATTACTAGTTTAGTGTACGTGCGTTGCACGTGTGCCTCGCGTCAAGTAAATATATATACAAAAATAATGTGTTTGACTATAAATGCTTTATCCCGATTTTATATTTTTTTTCTTATCAACTTAGCATTGATATATTTGTGATAATTTTCATATATACTAATCTTAGCTTGTACTACCTTTTCAATTGTTGTAATTTCAAGGGGGCAAACAAATTAGAAAACAATATGGAAAATTAGAATTTTGGAATAAGAAAAATGAATCTGGTCATTTAAAATTTATTAGGGTTATTCTCACCATTTTATTCCCTTTCTTTTGAGTCGCCTGCTTATTCTGATCTCATAAAGTTTGTACAACCAAAACTGGCACGAGAACAATATACAACTAATATCAAATATGTCAATAAAGTTACAGATGAATATAAAAATACTAAGCGTCATGAAGTTTAAATCAATAATTAAAACTTGGATCATAAATTAATAGGATTATGTTATCATGCCAATAAATTTTTTACAAGAACTATGAAATACATGACACACTGAAAAAAATTAAAAAACTAAACAAATTCATTCCTCCTAATCTCGTCCAAAAATCATATGAATACTATATTCATCAGATAAATAAATATCAAATACAAAAATATAATAGAAGAAAATCGAACTTTTCTATAAAAACCTATCAGAAAGAGAATTAAATAACTTCCAAAAACCTATCCAACAATTAATAACTAACCATGGAAGCTTACGAACAAACAAAATATTGAAATAGCAATACATGTGTAGAAATAATTAAAAGTTTTAAACCCAAAAAGAGAAAAAAGAGGTTTCTGAACGTGAAATCAATAGGTAATTTGACTTCAGGTTGTAGTCCTACGCCAGCCAAATATATGCTTATGGTATTATTTTCCAACTTTTCTGTCAAATAAAATTTACTACATTCGAATGTTAAAAATTAAAATTACACCAACATATTTTCATAAGGAAATCAATTCAAACCATTAGATCTTGATAAATAGTGGATTGAATCTAAATTCGGTTTTTCTTTTTTGGCCATGAATTAGAGCTTTATGTAGATACTATATATGTATTTCCGACAATAATATCTTCTTAAAAGATCTACCAATTTTTAAATTGTGAAATGAATAAAATTTATTTGAGTTATATAAAATTATAAAATAAACGTTAAAGAACTTTTTCTAAACATAATAAATATTGTTCTCATTTAGCTAGCTCAATAAATAAAGATATCACCCATAAAAGTTTTTCGGATGCCTTGTTTGTGATTTAAAAAAGACTTATATGAAGATTTGAAAATTAAAATTAAATCCTTTGGTGTTCTAAAATTTAGGATGAAAGTTGACATTATACCTCCTAAAAATTAATAGTGACAATATAAAGTTTAAAGAATATCTAATATTGAATAATATTTTACTACAACTAACTTAATTTAAAAAGATAATATAGTGAGACATTGTCACCTATAAGACTGAATAACCGAATGCAAGAAAGAAAAAAAAACGATAACTCATTACGATATATTTGGTCTTCTACCATGTCATCTTTATTGCTTCAAATTCATATTATTATCAATTTGACTCTTAATTTTACACCATAAATTGACTTTTTAATTTCTTTCACCATTAATACTCTTCCTACAACTACAAAAATTAATCTATATACCTTAAAGAGTTGTCAACGTGACAAATAAACTTACTTATATAATGAATTTAAAAAAAATATTAACTTGAACTCTTTTGCATTAATTAATTCAAAAACTTAATTATTTATTCTCAACATTAAAGAAAATAAATTAACTTTTATTATCAAATTCTTAATATTAGTTCATCCCAATTTTAAAATTTAACTATAATTAGAACTTTGTTCAATAGAATTTTTTATTTCAAATAGTTAAAAATCATTAGTATGTCAATTTTGATTCGTTTTAGTGCTTCCGAAATCATTGTTCATTAGTATGCCAATTTTGATTCATTTTTGTGCTTCCAGAATTATTGTTCTTTTTTACTTCTAGAAAATTTACGCATAATTTCTAAAGTTCTGAATAATAAGAAAATCTTATAGTTTAATATAGTATTAAAGCTTTAAAATTATTAGACGTCAAATAAGGACATTCATATAAGGTCTTAAAGCGCTAATATTAATAGACGTCAATTAAGGATATTCATTAAGGTAAAAAGTTTAATAATTTAAAGTGCTAAATATTAGGATTTGCTACCTAATTTAATAAGGAAAGATTTAATAAACAACTTAGTTGATTTTAAAGTCCTAAAATTTTGGAAAGCAACTTAAAATTACAAATTTATCCAATGTAAAGTCTTTTTTTAAAGGGTAAAAAAGGCGAACGACATTTCGCTAAATGCCTTCGTGCTTTTAATATAGTATAGTATAAATTAATTTTTAACAATGGATATAATTAAATATTAATTAAGTCAAAACACAACAAAAAAAAATGAGAAAGCAATTAAGCAAAAAGAAAGTCACGTGACTAAAGGGTATTGGAAGGGAACAAAAAGGGCTTAATGCCTTAGAGAAAACAGAAACACAGACGCACAGAAATTACGAACAGTGGCAGCCAAAAATTGCATGAAAAATTATAGGGTTCTTCACAACTCACTTATTCTTGAATTCATGTATATAAAATTTGCTATTGTCAATTATCCTACGGTAGTAATAGGTAAGAATTGAGGTAATTTCCTTTTTCCTCTGTATCAACAGTAAGCTCCTTGTTTAGGTGTGAAACTTTGAAATTAATTCAAATACACTGGTTGGTGTAGAATCAATTGTTTGACGAGTATAAATTGGACTGGGGCCCACGTATTGGCTCAAGTAGTTTTGAGGTGAGTTGATATAACCCTTTACTAAAGTGGTTTAACTAACAAAAGCAGGCATACGAGGTGTTTGATGAATTGCTTTAAAAAGTTATTATATTCTTAATTGGAGCGAATGAGTACTATTAGCTTAGAATTATTCTAGTTAATAGAGTTAATATGAATTTCAGTAACATTCTGCTTCTTTAATTTCCTTCCATGCCTTTAATATATCTTTTCCCTCCTCCCATGTGTCATGTCTTATTTACTACACGTGAAAGAACCCCTTTTCGTGTTTTCTTTTTTATTTATTTAGGTTCTAGGCTTTTGGACCGTGGCGGAACCGCTCTTGTCCAAATAGTGTCAGTCGAAACTCCTTCGCTAGAAATATATGCGTAAATTTTCAGATTTTTGGTGTTATTCTTGTATGCCATTTTCATGTTGAAGTTTTTTTTTTATGAAGAAGCAAGAATCTTTAGAAATTCTTTCGAATGTTTATTTCATTCTTATGTCATGCTTTACACTTAAGGTTACCAGTATGAGTATGTATAGTATGTTCCAGAAAAGATTTAGACTTGAATGGTCAAGAAAGTTGAGAATTTGATTTAGATCCTAGCGAGGTCACGCAGAATAATTTATTATTAAAGTAGATTTTTTTTTTTTTGGAGTAGGGTCATCGTCCAGGCCGAGGGTCCTGACCAAGGCGTTGACTTCCTAAAACTACTTGTGCCGAAATAGGGAGCACACGAGCTGAGGGTCGTTACTGAGAATTTGCCTAGCCAAGCTAAGGTATGGTATATGAGCGTTGAGAATAGGTTGTGGGTCGTGGGTCTTCCGAAAACAAACAGGCTGCTACCTTTCTTTTTATTTTTCCTAGGCCGTGAGTCTTCCGAAAACAAATAGGCTCTCTGCCTTCTTGAAGGTAGAGTGCGCACATATTATCCTCCCCAGAGTTCATTTGTGTGATTATAATGGGTATGTTGTTGTTGTTGTTTGTTGCCTAATTAAACCTCATAAGTGTATAGGGGTAAAATATGGACTTGTTGCGTAGGTTTTTTTTTTAATTATTTTTTTTATTTTTTATTTTTTATTTTTTAGGGCTTAACCCCGAAGGGAGCCCTTCCAAAAAGTTTAGAAATAGTTTTCAACCAGCAATAGACGCGCCTCGGTTAGAGCTGCGTCATTAGATTGCGTAGGGGGTTGAAAGTGAATATTTCAATTTTATCCCAAATTTCAGACAAATCGCTCCTTGGTTGCAGACGTGGGGATCTCTCGTCATAACTGGTAAGACTCGTCGTCTTCTTCCTCCCCCGGAACGCTCATCTCTTTTGAAATCACATAAGTTTGGGAGTAGTAGAAAATGTGAGTAGTGAAACTGAGAAAGTCATGGAACAGTTAGATCCGAAATTTGAAAACTTTGATAGTACTGAAAAACTAAGGGTGGCTCTTGCTGAAATTTGGAAACTTTGATCTCAACAACACGGGCAACGATGTGATCTCTTGTATACTTAGTTCTATATTTGCTATATAATGAAAACTTTAACGGTAGAGGAAATAATCTTCGATATACCGTTTATAGAGATGTATTTTTGTAGGTTCTAAGCAATAAAATTAAGCAAAAGAGGAAACAAAAAGCTGAGAGATGGGAGGTGCCTCTTCCCAGTTTAAGGTCTCTTTCACGTTGCTTTGCATATGTTATTGTTTTACATCTAAATTTTCTGCAAAAAATTCTGTAACTAATTAGCGAAGCTCTTTTTTCCCCCTTCTATTTTTTCCACTTTCTTGCCTGCTGATTATTAATGTGTTTAAAAGCTTTTAAATTTTCATACTAACAGGTTAGACCTGTCACTGAAGATGACATATTTAAAGTGTTTAAAGCTGGTTTAAGGAAGAATTAAGTGTTTTCCTACGGTTCTTCTAGGTTATTGAGCTTCATTTGCCAATTTGTTTTCGGACTGTTTTGTCAATGGGAGGTTTACCTTATGAAAATTTCAGGCCTGACACTGTTCTGTTTTACACACAAATTATGAGAATATATCACCCTTTACAAAGCTATTGTAGAAACTTCAGATAAATTTGCCCAACTGGACTGAGATGTAGTTGTTGTTGGCTTGTCTTAAGCACTCATCAGCTGGCTTTTAAATCAACTTTGAATGATATATTCTTCCTGCTACCTAAAGTGATTGTCGCAACGACTTTTGCAAAGTATATAGAATCAATTAGAAAGTATATATAATCAGACAGATGGTGCTTGACATCCTGCACCTACTGCTTCAGTTACGCAACTCAATTTAGCTATTAATATATACAAGTTCCTTCTGTCAAAGCACGTAGTTATCATCTCCAAATAATTGGTGGTGAGGATCTTGAATCCTGAAGGGAGATTATGGTTTCAAAAGCACCCACCAAAGCCTTGACCTTGCTTCTCCTGGTCTCAACAAGTTTGGTTGCAGTCTCTTCGATCACATTGTTGAACAATGTTGGAGCCTCTCTTTTGTTTCCCCTAGCTTGGTGTCGAAGATTAACTTTCATATTTTCATCTTTAGCAGCATTTGACTTTCCATTAGCATAAAGTCTCCGAGAGCTTCTTCCTCTAGCATAAGCACTTCCATTTTCGTTGTAATCTAGTATTTTGACTGGCCTGAATTTTAATCTCCTTGGACTGACTTTCTCAGACTGAAAATCGATTATTTTTCCTCTCCTGAACTTGAGGTTTTTAGGACTGCAAATTGCAGTTTTTGCAGCTTTTATATCTTTGCTTTGGCCTGTGGTTCCACTTTTTCTGGAATTGCTGACTGTTGCATCGTCATCAAAAGACTCACATGCAGAAATTGATGATAGGGAAGATTTCCTGTTGCCAAGGTTTCTGCAGCTACTGCCATCCGAGTGCAGAGAAGGGGATGGGGAGAGAAGGGGTGACGATCTCTTCCCTCTTTTTGGGCCATGTAGTGAAGATTTCCTGTTGCCAAGGTTTCTGGTGATACTGCCATCCGATTGTAGAGAGGAGGATGGGGAGAGAAGGGGTGATGGTCTCTTCCCTCTTTCTGGGCCATGTCTATCAAAGGAGGAGACTCTGGCCATTCGAGTTTCCTGGGAGAGCTTTATTGTCTGGCTTTTAGTCTTGGATTCTCTGATGTGCAATGTTTCCTTTGGAACACTTCCATGACTTCCTTGCTCCATCTTGCCTCGTTTAAGACTAGCCCATTTTCTAAGTCGAGATGCCTTGTTTGGAAAGTTTTCATTACTTGGTTGCTCTATCTTCATTCGTGCAAGGCTAGTCAAATTATTAAGTTGAGATACCTTGTTTGGATCATTTTCATGACTCTCTTTGTCCGTTTTACTTGGAAGGCTAGTCCGCTTATTACGTTGAGATACTATTCTTGGGGAATCATTATTTGGCTTTTTGCCTGATACCCTCTTCACAGAAAATCTTGTAGAGTGGGAAATAGTTGTGGATGCTGGTATTTCCTGTCCCTGGGCTCGAAAAGTTGACCGGCTCTTTAATTTTGGTAGCTTACTTGAGCTTAATGGTTTCTTCCCTATCTGCAACATCACAGTTGTAGCCATTTCTGGGACTTCTCCTGATGTTGTTACAGGTCTCGTGGGCTGGAGAGTCCTCGTCTTTGTTTTAAGATCACTTTCTACTGGGTATTTGCAAACTTCTTGGCGAGAACCTGTTGGAACACTCAGTAAACATGGCAAGATCTTGGATTCACCTATTTCAATACCTAAGCTGCCAGTTGAGTTCCTTCTCAAATAGCTGACTTCAGGCCCAACTTTGTCCAGGTTCGCAGGAACACCAGCATCCTTTTTCTTGCTGAACTCATAAGATCCAGTGTCCTTATCCATCTTGCTTCCTGTGTTTGGTTTGCTGGTTGCATCATCCAATAGAGACCCCTGAAGAATTGCCGAACCCCCTGTTATAAGAACGTCACTGTATCTTCTTCTGCTTTTGTTGCTTGACACCGAATAAGCATTTTCTTCCAGAGGCTGCAGCTTCGAATCTCTTCGATGACTTGCAGAAACAGCCAATGTTTTGGCGCATGCTTGCATTTCCTCTTCGTGTGAAGTTGTCAGCCTTCTGAGATTTGCAGGTAATTTAGTTGTTCTCCATATCTGCCACTTCACAGTTGTAGCCAGTTTTGAATTTTCTCCTGATGTTAAAGATCTTGTGGACATGTGAGTCCTTGCCATTGTTTTAAAGTTGCATTCCACACCATCTTTGCTAGCATCAAGCCAAGAACCTGTTGGAACACTTACATGACGTGACAAGACCTTGGAGTCACCCATTTCATTACCTAAGTTTCCAGTTGAGTTCCTTCTCAAATACCCGACTTCATTCTTAATTTTCTCCAAGTTTGCAGGTTTCCCAACAGCCTTCTTGTTGCTCAACTTAGAAGATCCAGCGTTCTTGTCCATCCGGCTTCCTTTGTTTGGTGTGCTGGTTGCACCATCCAACGGAGAATCCCGAGCAAATGGTGACCCCCCTGGTATGATAATGTCACTGTATCCTCTTCTCCTCAGCTTATAGCTTCTTGACATAGAATAAGCATTTTCTTGCAAAGGCTTCAACTTCAAATCATTTTGTTGATTTACAGAAATAGCTAATCTTTTGGTGTATGCTGGATTCTCCTGTCTCTGGGCTTTACCAGTTGTACGCCTCTTGAAATTTACAGCTAGCTTACTTGATCTTAGTGGTTTCTTCCTTATCTGCAACTTCATAGTTGTAGCCAGCTCTTGGGTTTTTTCTGATGCTGCTATAGTAGATCTTCTCAGCAGCGAAGTCCTTGCTTTTGTTTCTTGAAGATCACGTTCCACACCTTTGCAAGCGTCATGGCAAGAACCTTTTGGATCACTCAGATAACGGGACAAGACCTTGGATTTAGCAATTTGAATACCCAAGCTGCCAGTTGAGTTCCTTCTCGAAAAGCCAACTTCACGCTCAATTTTCTCCAGACGTGCAGGTATGCCAACAACCATCTCACCCATTTTGAGCTAGAGCAATGAAACTATCACCGCTGCAGATATATTATGAAAAACAGAGAGGTTTAGGAAAGCATCACACATGCTTGTTTTCTCTATGTTTCCGAACTGTTAAACAAGAGCACTTACCGATAGAAAACTGATGATAAGCAGAGACCTTTGATTGAAACCTCAACCTCACCAGTGTGGCATCCTGATTGGAAAGAAACAAAGACCTGTGAGAAAACTGCTAATAAAAAATGCAAGTGCACTAATATGAAAACAGTATAAGTGAAGAACATTGTACAAGGACGAAAATAAATTACTTATTCTGCGGCTTGCATTTCTCCCTCCATCTGACTGTTCCTCAAACTGCTCTGGTACTCCTGTCACCTATTTAATACTTCCAAATTAGAGATTGATTATAAATCTAGCTCTATTTTGACCACACGATTCAGTAAATTTAACAGAATATATCTTGCTTGGTGGGAAATGTGTCCAACAAAACTTGGTAATAATTGATACAATTTGATCGGTGAGCCTAACTGGGAAATGTGGACAATTAGGAACTGGTATATGGCTGGAAATCATGATATTGAAACCAAAGAACTGATGCATCCAAATAGTTTTCTTCCCTAGAATTTCGAAAAATCTATGCCACTTTACTTATGGCAAATAGAAAAAAGAAAAATCTACTCTGCATGCATGTCATTAACTTGCTGGAAAACGTTTTTCAAACTATTAATACTATGATCTTAACCCAATGTGTTTCTTTTACAAGGAGGAAATTAATAAATATAAAGAGAAGCTCTACAAAGTACTTAACAGGAGAAACATTCTTTTAACTGGTAAAGCAAAGGAATGCCAAATCATACTTCTTATATAAACCTAAGTTAAATAATAGAAATAATTTATGACATCCCCACCTATTATACAAATAAGAAAGGGAAACATAAGATGCCACCAAACTCCAGAAGTAATCCTACGAGAATCAATGAGAAAAAGAAACATTTTTTTCCTTTCAACAAGAAATAAGATATTCTATAATGTCCTTTTATGAGAATTCGATATTAATCTATACATCCTAGAGCTATACATTCTAAACACCATTGCCATTATTCAGAAACAGAACTCAGGTGGAACGACAAAGAAAAAACAAACACCACCTTAGACGTATCGCATTTTCATATGTTTTTTCACCTCATGGGGAAAAAAAGAAAGTGAAAATTCCTTTTCTAAGAGAATTGGAAATTGATGAGTTCGGGCGTTGGGTTGTGAAACTATTGTATTGTTCAAACATTACGCGAAGAAGCAAAGCAGAACAAAATTTTCAGGCAATTGAAGAATTAGGGAATCATTAACATTTGGATTCTAATCATCTTCAATAGAAAATGTCAATCTTCGATAACAGATTCAAGAACTGATTAAAATTAACAAAAAGAGAAAAATGATAATTTTGGTGGAAAATAGGGGTTGAAATTATACCTTTTTCTTGATAAGTTAAGAAGGAAAGCCAAAGAAAGAGGGACTCAACAATTTGTTGACAATTTTTGAGGGAGTAGAATTTCTAAAATTGCAAAGAAAGAAAGCCAAAAAGAAGAAATAGAAAGAAAGAATTAGAAAAAAGCGTTTAAAATTCATAGACATCTGTGAGAATAAGCGCGATTAATGCAGAGGATATAGATCAGCTTTGACACTAAAAATAATAATAAAGGGTGCGTAACACAACTTTGGACCCTCTCCTCAACCAATTCTTTTTCTAGAAATGATCAATTTTTTTTAAAAGATAAATTTTATTCTAAATTCGTACATACATTAATAAAAAATATTATAAATCACGAAATATACATATACGATTAGGTACCTTTTTTTGTATATTTCACATATACTTTTATTCATTTTTTCTTTATAATCCGATACTGTTGAGTTTCTACATTTCATGTTCTTTGGCGTGGCTCCATAAAAATTGGTGCAGGACAGCAGGAGTAGGGAATTAAGAGAGATAGTGCAAGTTAAGGACCGGTACTCTATTGGAAAATAGTTTTTTGGTCTAAATGTATGAAGAAACAGTCAGGAAAGAATGACGAGTCGACTTTGACAACATCACCCACCTCAGAAAGCAAAAGAAAATGTTTAGAAAAAGAATGCAGACTACTTTTATAATTTTCATAAAGCCATTTTTCTAACTTATAGGCCAAGCATTACACAGTATAAAGAAAACTTCCCAACGCTCAAAGAAATTACTAATAATTACATATTTGCATGAGAAACTTTACAGAACCTTTTTTGACATTTCATCTTTTTTCTTATTTTGAAACCTTGCTTTATAAGTTTCAAATAGTAAGATGGTCCTTATGAAAAAGTTGGTCTTTAAAGTATAAAAGTTTATGCCTTTTTGCGACAATATAGTTTGTCTCCAAAGTTTCCAAGCAAGTGACTCATAATTTACTAGTACTACTTTTTTAAGTGTAAAACATGAGTCATGCTTGTACTATTATACTTGAATTGCACCCCAAGAAGGCTTAATTAAAGAAATCTCACTATTTGTAAATCTAATATTTTTCTAATTCTAGTTGAAGATTCATGAGTACCATAGAAACGTTATATATAGTTCTTACCTGTTTTATATATTAAAAATCACCTTACTTAGCTTTAGTTTAAAGAGGTCAGAAACGAAAATAATGAAGATGCATGGTAACCATATTTCATGATTATTGATGTTCCCTTGCCTTCAAGAAGGGGGGAAATCAAATGCTTGACTCAAAAAGGAAGGCATTGACCATCATTAGTGTCTCCCTTCTTTGACAATGTTACCATATATATAACAATGATTGCCTAATTATATTTAGCATCTAATTCTAATTATTTATTCGCTTATATATTGTATTATCTCGTATAAAAATGGGATGTGCAAGGCTTTTAAAGTAAAAGTAACTACACGTCCCTTCCAAAAGAAAAAAAACAACTAGCTACGAGGTAACAATATGACGAGTTAGTAGTGGCTATGTTCAACATTTTCGTGTAATTGAGAAGAAAGACTGTGTGATTTGTGTATACGTACATTTGTAGAGGATGAGGTCCTTATTAATATACACTACAAAGTGTATACTGAAAAATGCTTTATCCATGTTTTCTTTTTAAGAGCAAAGAATCATATGCAAATTTGATTTTTTGAGCTTCCGTTTGGCCATAAATTTGACTTTATTTTTTAATTTTTTTTAAAAATAATGTTTGTTTATGGAATATGATCATGTTTTGGAAAAAAAGATTTCAAAGTTTTCAAGTTCCAATTCCAAAAAAGATTTCAAAGTTTTCAAGTTCCAAAAAACTTGTTTAGAGCGCGAATTTTTTTCTTCCACTCACAAGTCACAATTCGACTTTTCTTCAAATAAAATGCATGTCCAAACACAACTTCAACTTTCAAACATTATTTTTTAACATAATTTCAAAAACTATTTCTTTAAATTTCAATCAAATTTATGCCCAAACGGTAGCTAAATCTTTCCTTGGGTAAGGTGGGTGTGCTGCAGTCAAAAAAATTATATTAGTCATGAGCAAGTCAAATATAGCTGTATTTGATAAGTGCCTTAAAATTCAGTCTGGCCTACACGTAAGCAATTATAATTTTGTTACTTTAACCAATAGTTAAACATAAATTATTCAGTGTACTAACCGGGTAACAGTAGTATATAAGTTCAAAACTGCCCTTTTAAATGAATACTTCAATCGATTTGTCAAAGACACCAAGTCAAGCATCTCTCTCTCTCTTATCTTTTTCAGGCTTACCAATTACATAATTTTATTACAGAGTAGTTATAAAGATAAGAAATTCTATTGTAATAATTGGTAGGTTAAATTTTGATATGACAGAAAATAATACTATAACAGATATTCAGAGGGATTACAACAGTGGACATGGCTCGAGGGGTTCATGGCCCCCAATACTCTAGGTAATTTAACATATTATAAGATCTACTACTATTTATTCCAATCAAACTCGCTATATATCTACGTTAATCGCAAACATCTTATGTAATATTTTATATAGATGTGTCAGTTAACAACTGATATAATGTAAATTAGAAAGACTCTAAGGAATGTTTTTAAGTGCCCCACCAAATCACCTAAGTCTTTATGGTATCAATATTAGTAATTAAAAGAAGTGGGTCGCATCCCATGCACGTCACAGCAGTAGTAGAAATCATAAAAACAGCTAAGAGCTAAACAAGTGGCTTCTTTTTAAACTGCCCAATCTTTTGGTAGCTTTGTGGACCTTTAGATGGAAGTTATCAAAATGGGAGCCTTCTGCTTAACGCCAAGTTCCCCTACCATACATTTTGGGAAAATTTCTTCCTTTTAATTAAAGCTAGAAGAGTACTTGGAGGCAAAAATTAAAAGGTAAAAGGAAAAAAATTTACCCCTTCTTTAATTATTACTCCATCCGATCTACTTTAATTGTTTTTTGACCTTTTAATTTTTCAGAAACTTTTTTTTTCCAAAATTGCCCTTGGAGTAAAGAGCCTAGGAGTATTTGTTATAGTTCCAACGAACAAATTAAGGTTAATATGGTTAATTTTATTAGTTAATTAATGCTAAAAAATGGATGAAAACAGTCAAAAAAATCAATTAAAGTCCGGAAGGAGTAATGAATAAAAGTAGAATTAATGACTCAAAATTAATGGCAACTCAATAAATCAAACAAAAGGAGTAAACTTTCCGATCGAGACATACAAGAGCAATGGGAATCCTTCGAGACATACGCCAACCAAATTATTCTTTAGTCACGTGTCTCTCCTTCCCAGCAAACTTATAAGATATTATAATAGCTAATCAATCTCATTTTCTTTTAGTTCCTAGCTACTTCGCCTATATATAAACTCTTCACTTCATTTTTAATCTCAATAAACATAAAACACAAGAAATTATTGCATTTCTTCCAAGAGTTCTGAATATCAACCATGGTTTCTGAGAGAAATTTGTCCAAGAATGTGTGCGTGATTGGTGCCGGACCGTCAGGATTGGTGGCTGCGAGGGAGCTGAGGAAGGAAGGGCACAATGTGGTGGTTTTAGAACAAAACCATGATGTAGGAGGGCAATGGCTATATGAACCTAAAGTTGAACATGAAGATCCTTTAGGAAGGACTAATGTCCAAAATGTACATAGCAGTATTTATGCATCATTAAGGCTCACTTCTCCAAGAGAGATCATGGGATTTACTGATTTTCCATTTGTGGTGAAGAAAGGGAGGGATTCAAGGAGATTTCCTGGCCATAGGGAACTTCTCTTGTATTTAAAAGATTTTTGTGAATACTTTAGATTAAGGGAGATGATAAGGTTGAATACTAAGGTTGAGTATGTGGGTATGTTGAATTATCCTGAGTTTGGTAAGGATTTGAGATGGATTGTGAAGAGCAAAGAGAAGGAGTCTGAGATGGGGGTGGAGGAAGTCTTTGATGCTGTGGTTGTTGCAACTGGTCATTACTCTCAACCAAGGTTGCCAAACATTAAAGGTTTGTCAAACTCTCCATATCTTTCTCACTCAAGTTTAAGTTTTGTGCATTTGATCGTATATATATTTCACACCATCAGATTAGTTGATCTAAAACAAGAGGTTATATATATATAACAAGCTTAATATGGCTAGCTTAAAATAAAGTAATAGCATACTACAGTCGATTAAATTGCATTGATAGTGTAAATTCCCTTACACTGTCAATGTGTATATATAAATTGAATCCCCCTCACAAAGAGACTTTGGGTCAATAGAAGATGAAAAGAGACACCAAAAGTGGCAACAAAATCCCGGAGTTATAACTAACTTTATCAATCAAAGCAATTCCTTCATAGTCAGGTCATGTCAAGGTACAGGTAAAAAGTTACAGCATGTATTATATATACTAGCATAAACACATATTTGTGTTTTGTATTTACTTATTTTCTTCTTATTCAATTGTATAAGAATGACATTAAAAGCTTTTTATCTGTTTCGTTTTATAAGGAATGGATGCGTGGAGAAGAAAGCAGATGCATAGCCACATTTACAGGGTTCCAAACCCCTTCCAGGATGAGGTAATGCAAAAATCTATACAATCATAGAGATGAATAGTTATCAACAGGATTCACTTTTCCCTTTCTCTATTTTAAATAATAGTTCTGTTGCAATACTAGCCAGAAAAAAATCATTAATTAACATCTCACGTTGTCATAATTCGAATTCCAGTGCATGTATTCGAATAAAATAAAACAAAAAAGCTCAGAGCTGCGACCTGTGGAGCATCATCTAAGTTTAGTCTTATTAAAGAAGTGTTAACTTTGGTTTGAAACAAACTTCTGAATCTTGCCCGTACAACTTGCTAACTATTTTTAACTTAACAGGTGGTTGTGGTGGTTGGAAACTCACTAAGTGGTCAAGATATAGGAATGGAGCTTGTAGATGTGGCAAAGGAGATCTATCTCAGCGCCAAATCTCTTGACGTTTCTGAAGGATTGTCTAAAGTTATATCCAAGCACAATAATTTACATCTTCGTCCTCAGGTTTGTTGTATTAGAAATCCGACAAAGAAAATACTGATTATTCAAATAATATACTGATCTAAAATGAAAATGCAGATAGATTCATTACATGAAGACGGGAGGGTTTTGTTCGAAGATGGCACTTTAGTTGTTGCAGACACTATCATATACTGTACAGGGTAAGTGTTTTATTCCCATTAGAAACTAAAAAAGGAAGGTTGAAGAGAAAAACCCAAGCAATCACACTAGATATTCTAATATTTCTTCTGCTTCATTTTGTATGGCAATTGTTAGTTGAGGAGTCATTGTTTTCTTTGATCATAATTTTTCAAACATTTTTAAATATTCTTATTTACAAGAATACATATCAATAAAATTAAGATATTTTAACTCTCGGGTCTGACTAAAATAATAAAATTGAACTAGGCAGTGATTAGACGTGTATTTGTCTTTAAGTCAAAAGAATATTGATAATGACGGATCCAAGTTGGTATGTTCTGCAGGTACTCCTACTCCTTCCCATTTCTTGACACCAAAGGAATTGTAGTAGTTGATGATGACAGAGTGGGGCCCCTTTACGAGCATACCTTCCCCCCTTCTCTTGCTCCCTCTCTCTCCTTCATTGGTGTACCTCGAAAGGTAAACCACCTCAACTGTTAACTCCTAAGCATTTCTATAACCAAGCAACAACCAATCAAGTTTTTGTTTTGGGAGGATATATCAATTAGATAATTACTATACTCTCTTATTTATGATGTAGCTCATAGGGTTTCCTTTCTTTGAGTCACAAGCAAAATGGATTGCTCAGCTGCTGTCTGGGAAAAGAACACTGCCATCATGGGATGAAATGATGCAGTCCATCAAGGAATTTTATAGTTCAAGAGAAGTTGCTGGCATTCCAAAGCACAATACCCATGATATTGCTAACTTTGAGGTACAACACTTAAATTTAAATTCTACAACAAAAAGGATATTTCAGATTTCAGAGCCTTTGCACTGTACTAATATGTTGTGTTTGAATAATTTTCTTTGGCATAGTATTGTGACAAGTATGGAGACAATATAGGATTCCCACACTTAGAAGAATGGAGGAAAGAACTCTGCCTATCAGCACTAAGAAATGCAGATATAAACTTGGATACATATCGGGATTCATACGATGACGGCGAGATGCTACAAGAAGCTTATCAAAGCCCACACTTCACTCACCTTGGTCCCGAGGCTTTTTGAATCTGAAAGCATCTATAGATACAGATGTTTAAGATGGAGTGCGGCCAATTATAATTCATTTATTTTCTGGAGTAGATTTGGTCAACTATTTAGTATACTTCGTATTTACTAGCTTCTACCAGAGTGGAAAGAAATTTTTTATATATTACACTCGGCTTCATCCGTACCTATGAAAAAAAGGGCAGAAAGAATATCTGGTAGAATGCTCGACTGTGTAAGAAAAGATGAGGATATTCATGAAGAAATTTTTGTTTTCTTTCTATTAAAGAATTTTAGCTTCAAGGCTATTCTCTAGAAACTATTGTAGGATATGTGAAGTGAAGTCCATTTATAAGACTCGCATTCATGTTCTGATTAGCATCAATTGTAATTTTCACTCCTCAATACGTTGCCACCTAATTAAATGAAAATGAGGCACGATGTAATGGTTTCATGGAACTATTGGAGGTTCCTGCATTTAAATAGCTCCTCAAGTGAAGGACTTTTAACATGAATGCCAATTATTTCAGGGATAAAAGGCACAGCCAGAATTATGGGCTAACAAATCCTGGCTGCCAAAGGTAGCCCAAGAAAGGGTCAAGAAGCAATACATTTGTTACGGCAATAACATATTCTGCCTCAATAATCAAATAAGAGTTGTAGCTGAAGATCCTACAAAAAGAAGCAATAACTATGTGAAAATAAAAATTAGGATAGAAAGCAATGTACCTATGGTGTATGCATTTTCCCGCAGAGATTTAGATACTCTGTGTCACCATCATTGTCGTCTAGAAGGTAAACTTCTCATAGCATTATGGGTCATGCCAAAATGTGTGTCACCTGAAAAAACAGCTAATATGCTCAAAGGACTGTAATACAAACTTCAACATTAGTCGAACTGAATTATATGCTGTTACTACCTACGATCATGGATAAGGCAAACAGTCAGCCCATCAGTTCTGCACAGCTAGAAAAACACAAGTAAGCTCAGAAAACCTGAGAGCCTTCAAAGCACCCATTCTGCAGTTCAATCGCCCGAAATCTTTAGGATCTCGACAGAGTCGTAGAGCTCAAAATTAAAAAAAGATCTGTTGAGCCTACTCCAATATTTCTCAGATATCAAGGACTAGAACTTTCACAAAAGAAGGTTTCTAGTAGCAAACTCAACTCAAGAAACAGTGATGATATTGGCAGAATGACTACCCAAGTAGCATAGAAGTTCATCTGAGGAGCGGTATCAAACACCATAAATCATATCCGGCTTTTACAACGCCATGCTAGGCTGTCTAATGTACATTGTACATCAACAACAACTACTACTACTACGCCTCAGTCCCAAACAAGTTGGTATCATCCGCTAGGCTGTTTGATGTATCAGAAACAAAGTAAAATGTCCCACTTATCCTTCCATCAAAAGAAGAAATAACTACCCAAGTCCTGTGGCAGATTCTGAGACCTCTCCAGTACACTACCTTGGCTGAAAAGCGGACCATTACATTGATATTTGAAATATACATCCTGCGTGAAAATTGCCACTCTCTGAAGCAGTAATTGCCCCTCCTAACTTGTCAGAAGACATAACAATACCGATACACAAGCTATTCACCAATAATCTTTGCACGAGCAAAGACCTCCAATGAAATGATGGAAGCGCTTTATATCTCTAACAACAATTGTCCTTTTATAAATTGCTGAAGCAAGCTTAAAGAATTGGTGGCAGTCCTGACAAATCCTCAAATTCTTCATTATCCTTAATGTAGGTTCAGATGAATTTAGCAGCCCATATGCAAGAGCAAGCTTTTCACTGTGGTATATCAGATTATGCTCCTTGTCCTCTTCATCAATATCATACAGAGCCATCTCTGTTTCAGCCACATAACCAGCTAATTTCAACTTACTTTTCATGTCTTTCAACATCTTATGGATTTCCTCATGCCCTGTTTTAAGAGGATCAGAGGCCTTAAACTCATACACTACATTTTCAATTTCAATTGAACTGCATCCAGGAATCTTTTTAATTCCGCCGCTGTCCATCAATTCCCTAACATCTCCAACTTCAGCCCATTGCTTTTTTCGAATGTAAACATTTGATATTAACACGTAGTTTTCCCCATTTGTTGGTTCCAGTTCCATTAGCTTACGGAAAGCAAATTCACCAAGTTCTTCTCTTCCATGAAATCTACAGGCACCAAGTAGCGCCCTCCATATTACTGCGTCTGGATTTATTCTCATAGAATGAATCATTTCTAAAGCTTCATCCAAGAATCCACCACGTCCAAGTAGATCAATCATACAACCATAATGCACAATCTTCGGCTGTAAGCCAAACTGATTTATCATGTTTGAGAACCGCCTTCTACCTTCCTCAACAAAACCTTGGTGACAGCAGGCGCATAAAATGCCCAAGTAAGTAACATCATCAGGCTTAAAGTCTTCTACAACCATCCTATCGAAAGCCTGCAATGCAGCCTCGCCTTGTCCATTCATGGCATATGCCGAAATCAATACATTCCATGTATAAATATTTTTAAACCCCATAGTTTTAAAGACCTTTTCCGCCTCATCAATATCTCCACATTTAGCATACATATCAATTAGCGCAGTACCAACGAATACATTCACTCTCAACCGATTCCTCACAATGTAATCATGAATCCACTTCCCTTGACTCAGAGCTCCCAAATGAGAACAAGCTGATAAAACTCCAACCATAGTGACCTCACCTGGTTTAGCCCCAGAAGCTAACATTTCCCTGAACACATCAATTGCTTCTCTAAATTTCCTATTATGCGTATAACTCGTGATCAATGCATTCCACGTAACTACATTTCGCTCAGGAATTTCATCAAACAGTTGGCGAGCATCATCAGGTTGTTGACAAATGCCATACATATAAACAAGAGCAGTGTTTGTATAAATATCAGTATTAAAACCCAATTGAATTGCATTACAGTGGATAGACTTTCCAACTTCACCATAACATAACTGAGCAACCGATTTAAGAACGCTGGGGAATGTTGAGGAATCAGGAAGGATATTCAGTTTACGCATTTGGGTGTAAACAAAAACTGAACGGGAGTGATTTTTAGAATCTGTATATCGTCTGATAAGTGTATTACAAAAATTACAATCAATGAAACGAGAGAACTCGTGGAATAGAAGAGCAGTGGGAGCAAACCCATTTGAAGAGAAAGAAGAATCAATTAGGTTCATGAGCGAGAATTGGTCAATGGTTTTGTCGCAGGCTATCTTTTGATTCGTGTGGCTCTGCGCCGGCATTTCTTGTAGCACTGTACGCATTGGGAAATCGACCGAAGCTGAGATTGTATAAGCGCGGAAGCCATAGGTGGATGAAAATGGTGCAAGGATTTTCAGTGATGCTTTCATGGTGAAACAATTGCAAGCTTTCTGCTACTATTATGACAGGAAATAATGACTTAAAACCATCATGGTTTCATGGTCAATAGTTGAGTTTTAGCAAAGATTATTAGCTAACGTTTGGGCATACATTTAGTTGAAATTTGAAAAAATAATTTTTGAAGTATTTTTAAAAAATAATTTTTGGAAGTTGAAATTATGTTTGGACATTTATTTTATTTGAAAAAAGTTTAAAGTTTTGTGAGTAGGAGAACAAGTTTCACCCAAATTTATCCTAAACTAGATTTTGGGAACTTAAAAAATAATTTTAAAATTTTTTCAAAAATAGATCATTAATCTGTGAACAAACAATATTTTCAAAAAAGATTTGAAAATTAGGTGCCAAAATGTATGGCCAAACGGGGCTTAGTCTATTGAGTATTGACAGCAGAAAATGTTGTGTGGTTTTATTCTTGAAAATGCAATTAAATAAAGCTTCAATTGTCACAAAAATTTTTAAAATACTTATTGTACTTTTGAGACGTAATATTCCTTGTAATTACTACATGAAGAAAATGGATATAGTTCTGCTGTAGTTTTTTGTCAGAAATTAAATAATTATATACCATAAACATAGTAAATTTAACTCCAAGTAAAATTGGCATAGGACTCCGCAAAGTTAAGGGATGTCGAAAGGAAGAAGAGATACTACTCCAAAACAGTTACCTTGTAATGAAGAGTCACACTATGCAAGTGGAGCCACCCCCAAAAACTCCTGACATTCCTTCCAATCAATCATCTGACCTTTCCTCTTTCAAGGAAAAGCTACTGGCTAATGACCACGAGAAAAGCTTTTCTTTGTCCTCAACTCCCCCTCGTTTACTACCTATGGCTATTGATTCCAACGAGGCGGATCTGGAAAAACCACTTACAGAACAGGAAAACAATCACCTGGTCCAAATAAGTGGAGAAGACAAGCAACGTATATACTACCCTTGGAGGTACTCAGTAATAATTAAACTCCAAGAGAAAAAAATCCTTCATCAAGTACTTAAACGGAAAATCTCGCCCTCAGAGGACCTCTCTCTCATAGATCTGGGAGAAGGCTATTACACAGTTAAGTTTAATAAGGAAGAATACATGGCAACAGCCCTGCAAAAAGGCTCCTGCTTCATATTTGGCACCTTCTTATCAGTACAACGTTGGGAGCCCAATTTTGTGCCATCAAGAGCAAAACAAACACTTACTGCTATCTGGGTAAGATTGTCAGAATTACCCACAGAATTTTACGATGTAATGATCCTAACTAAAGTTGGAAATACAATAGGACGACTTCTCAAAGTGGATGCATGCACCTCTGCAGCCCGTCGTGGACGGTATGCTAGAATATGCTAGAATATGCTAGAATATGTTTCGAATGGCCAATGCCAAGGAACACGTAGCCCAAAACCAAACTATCACTCCTACTAATAAAACTATTACGCTACCCCATTCTCTTAACATGCAAAAAGATATCACAATCATTGATACTGATACTGTATCTTCCCAAGGAACAAAAAACATCTCTAAAAATAACACTCCTAACCAACAAGATGCCCAGACTTCCCATTGCCAACAGGAGACGATACAGATTAATCCAACTCCTACGCCTCCATCAAAATATGGCAAATCCAAACAACATAAATCAACCTCCATCTCAACCACAAACAATTCTGATTCAACCCCCGATGCTGGAGAACCACCAGCCACAGTCTTGGGTGGAACTGGGCTTGATGGGCCATGCCCTCTCCTTCACAATCATGCTAAATGGGAGGGAAACAGTAATTGTCCTCCACAATTCACACTACCTAGCACAATTGATTTCGAAAGGAATTCGCCTATCAATGAACAATTATCTAAACCACATTTGGTTGAACAACATTCTACATCCAATCGCTCCAAACCTTCCTCCTCATGCAAACCAAATGATGATGGGGGAATGGCTCATGCCACCTCACTTTGTTCCTCTCCAATCAGCTCAACCAGTGACAAACCTTCCATTCTTCACTCCGGAGATAGCCACCTCTCTAAACCCTATCTTCACTCCTTGGGATACCATGCACCACAGGATCCAACTGCCAGTGTCCAAAATGCAACCACATCCCTCCATCAAAACACTCCACTGTCCCATGCACAGCCTCACACTCACCCCCAAGAGGCCATAATGGAAGAAGCAGTGGAGCCTCTCAACTTAGTCCCAGAACTAATAATAAATAATTCAAATCTAGAAGACGTAAAGGTGTTCATCTTTATGGAGAGGCTGGAGCAGAGGCAAATTCTCAAGTGTCCACTAGCCCTCTACAAATGCACGATGGATATACGTCCACCTGCCGATCCATCTGTAGGCCAACATGCAATGATCCTCGTGCCTTTTCAGAGGAGAAACCCAGTTCATGCCCCAAGGATTCTGGAGAATGGGGATCTCCATAACTGGAACCTCAACATGAATAGGCCCGTCTCTTTTATTATCTGGAACATTTGAGGGGGAAACAACGATACCTTCAGGCTCCATTTTAGGGAGATGATCGACGCTCACCATCCGAGCATGGTTACTCTGTTGGAAACTCGTATGGACAACCATATGGCTCTTCTTAACCCATTTAGCTTCACGGATATGATCGAAATTCCAGCTAATGGTCAATCAGGGGGAATGGTAATCCTTTGGAACCACACTGTAGTTAATGTCCATAGTTTTGTTAGAAGAAACCAGGAAATCAATGCGACCATTGAGGTAATTTCTACTAACTTTACTTGGTTATTCACTTCTATATATGCTAGTACTAAGGTAAAAGAGAGAAACTTGTTGTGGGATAATCTAATTAGCATGCATGATCATTTTAGGGGTCCTTGGCTAGTAGGGGGAGACTTTAATGATGTCCTAGACTCTAATAAAAAATTAGGAGGGAACCTGGTAAGTAGTAGACGTACAAAATACCTATGGAATTGTATTAATAAATGTGGTCTCACTGACTTAGGTTATAAGGGCTGCAAATACACTTGGTCCAATCGAAGAAGGAAAAATAAAGGCCTTATCATGGAAAGACTAGATAAAATCCTAGCAAATAGCGACTGGATCAGTGCGTTCCCAAATGCCTCTGTCACGCATCTACCCAAAACCCACTCTGATCATAATCCCCTATTACTCCAATTAACGTCTAACCAAACCACTAGACTTCTGAAACCTTTTAGATTAGAATCATACTGGTGTAGACACCCCAGTTTCACTAACTGGGTCAAAGAAAACTGGAAGGGGGTAGATTATCTAGACTCCTCCAACACCGTTATTTCTAAGGTCAAAGAATGGAAAAATACTACTTTTGGTAATATCCACAAGGAAAAAAAGAGAATTCTTGCTAGATTAAAAGGTATCCAAGAATCCCACAACTACCACAACAGCACCTTCCTTCAAGATTTGGAACGGTCCCTTCAATTGGACTTTAACAACTATCTAAAAATTGAAGACGATTACTAGAAACTTAGGGCAAGAATTTCATGGGTTCAAGAAGGAGATGCCAATACTAAGTTTTTCTATATAATGACCACCAACAATAGAAGGAAAAACAAAATCACGTTCTACAAGGACGACCATGGTAATTGGATTAATAACCCAATAGACCTACTAAATCACACCAAGCAATTCTTCTATAAAGCATTCACAACATCCCATGAATCTACTAATTGGTTAGACATTCGCCTTGACACCCCAAATTACAACAAACAGGATCTCAACCTGGATAAGCCTCTAACACCTATTGAGATCACCAATGCCGTCTTCTCTTTTAAACCCTTCAAGGCTCCGTGCCCGGACGGCATACATCCTTTCTTTTACCAAAAATATTGAAACATTGTCGGGCCCTCAATTATTAAAGTTTGTTCTCAAGTCTTCAAAAATAAAACACTTCCTCCACATATCAATGACACTTATATTTGCCTGATCCCTAAGATTAGCAATGCTAATAACTTAAAATTTCAGGCCCATCGACCTTTGCAATACCCTTTACAAAATTATTACTAAGATTATCGCTAATAGAATAAAGCCCTTTTTAGACAATCTAATTAGTCCCGCTCAAGCAAGCTTTATAAAAGGTAGAAGAACTAGTGACAATGTCATTCTAGTTCAAGAGATCATTAATAATTTTAAAAAAAAAAATGAAAGGGAAAAAGACTTGTATGATTCTCAAATTAGATCTTGAGAAAGCATTCGATCGTCTTGAATGGTCTTTCATCTACAGAATGCTTAACTTCTTCAAATTTCCTCCAGCAATATCTACACTAATTTTAAACTGCATAAGCTCTAGTAGAATTGCTATCCTAGTGAATGGTTCCATGACAGAATTCTTTAGCCCAAGTAGGGGTATAAGACAAGGTTGCCCATTATCACCATACATCTTCATTCTATGTATGAAAATGTTCTCCCGTCTGACCTCTCACCAAGTTGACATCTGTCAATGGGATCCAATCCACCTCAGCCCACGGGACACATGTATTTCTCACCTCTTCTTTGCTGACGACCTTACTCTTATGGCTAGCCTCAATGAAATATCATGCAAAACAATAAAGAATTGCCTTTCCTTCTTTTGCAAATTATCAGGGCAGAATATTAATCTTCAAAAATCAAGGATATTAGTGTCCAAAAATTGCCACCCTAACACTGCCCAAGAGGTAGCCTCCTTTTTCAATATTAAAATAGACAATTCCTTTGAAAAATACCTAGGATACCCAATCCTAACCAACAACCCGTCCCCAAAGGATTATCAGTACATTATTGATAATATGCAAAGAAAATTATCTTCCAGGAAAGGCAAGTTTTTAAACATCGCAGGGAGAACTACTCTTGCTATTTCAACACTCAATGCAATCCCTAGTCATGCGATGCACTACACACTCCTTCCGAATAAAACTTTGAAACAAATTGACTGCATTCAAAGAAACTTTATTTGGGGTACTAATAGTGATTCAAAAGAAATCCACTATATAAGTTGCAACAATATTACTAAATCTAAAGAAGAAGGAGGCTTAGGACTAACTACAGCCAAAAACAAAAATCTAATCACCCTAGCCAACCTTGCTTGGAGACTCTTGACCAACACAACTGCTCTATGGTCAAGTACACTCATCCATAAATATGCAAAAAGCACTCCTAGAAAAAACAGCTCTTTTGTTTGGAAAAGCATTCTAAAGGGATGGTCCATTTGCTCCAGAGGAATTACTTGGATTCCAAGCGATAACTCCAAACTAAACATCTGGACAACAAAATGGATTCCTAATTGTAATACTCTTCGTGAGACATTTCATGGTCCCCTCAAAAGGGAAGAGATTAACATGTCTATTAAAGATATCCTCCTACATAAGCGATGGAATCTTTCAAATATTTCCTTCAATATCCCAAAGGAGATAACAATAAATATCAACAAAATCCCCTTGCCATTAAATAGGAATCAAGACACCCCCATCTGGTCCCTCTCCACCAATGGAAGCTTCACCTCAAAATCATGTGCCAAGATCCTACAAGCTAAAACACCTCATCAACAAAACTTTATGTGGATCTGGAAGCTTAACTGCCCAAACAAAATTAGATATTTCCTCTGGCAATGCCTTCATAACAGAATTCCTTGTCGCAAGTATCTCCAACACATTGGCATCAACATTGATAGTACTTGTCCCATGTGCCACAACGAAGAGGAATCTCCAAGGCATATATTTCTCACATGCACTATTGTCCAAAATTTATGGGAACATCTGGGGGTAATGGTACCCACTAGAACAGATGAACACTGGTTACTTCTTATCAAAAACCTCAACCCCAACTTTAGCAACAATTACATCACGTGGCAACACTTTTTCCCCTTCCTAATATGGAGAATCTGGTTAAATAGAAATACTAACAATATTTATAACACCACTTTGCGTGCTTCAATTAAAAATCTTGTTAATCATGCCACTGAATTCCACTTCATGACCTCAAACAACAACCCTATTACTCAGATGAGGACCATTAATATTAAATGGCACGCTCCAGAAAAAGGTTGGATTAAGCTAAACACTGATGAAGCCCATGAGGATCTCAAAAGTGATATAGGTGGGGTTTTCAGAAATAATATGGGGAATTGGATAATTGGTTTTAAAAAAAAATCAACTTCCCTCTTCACTCTGACTTACAGGCACTCCACGAAGGTCTTCAAATAGCTCATAGATTCAATCTATTTCCTCTGGAAATAGAAACAGACTCATCAGAAGTTATCATGGCTATCAATAATGGGCATGCCACACTAAACAACGTAATTTGCTCTTGCGGGTCATTAATGCGCCAGGAGAAGGGCCTATTACTGAGGCATAATTTCAGGCAAAGGAACAGT